AACATTTAATAGGACAGCTTTAAACCATCTCAATCAATAGCCTCTAACTATTCCAGAAGGTTCTTATTTCATGAATTCCTAAGCAAGAGACTACCTGGATTAAGATACTTGGTGGACACCATTTTGAGATGAAGAATCTCAATTGGGAAGAAGGGAGATCTTTACTGACTATATCCCAATGATATAGTCGAGTGTCCCTCTGAAAGAAACTTTAGAACAAGACTTTCATCATGCCATATCTCTATGGAAAAGGAAATTCTTCAACAGAAAATGAAGGCAAACAATTGACAATCTTATTTTCATGGGAAAGTTTTAATTACTAAAGAAAACAAGAGCCGGGTGCAGTGGCTCACGTCTGTATCCCAACACTTTGAGGGGCTGAGGCGGGTGGATCACCTAAGTTCAGGAGTTCACAAACAGCCTAGCCAACATGGTGAAACCCTGTCTCTAATAAAAATACAAAAATTAGCGGGCATGGTAAGGTGCACCTGTAGCCCCAGCTATTTGGGAGGCTGAGGCAGCAGAATCACTTGAACCAAGAGGTGCAAGTTGCAGTGAGCTGAGATGGCACCACTTACACTTTAGCCTAGATGACAGAGTGTGATTCCTTAAAAAAAAAAAAAGGAAAAAAAAAGGACAAAGTTATACTGGTTTAAAAAAGAAGAAAGCAGCAAAAAAGGACAAGGTATACTGGTTAGTATCCTAAGGTTGAGATGGTCCCACTTCGAGATTAGAAAATAGCACTGTATTCGAAGTAACATCAATAAGAATTAACATAAAATAGACAAGATTCATTATCTATAAAAGTAATCTGCACCAAATAGCAATGTATGAGCATGTGGTTGAAATATTATCTATAATAAGTGTACTAGAAGGAATAGGCCTCAAGAAAAAGGTCGGAGATGAAATGTAAATTAGGAATCTGGATCAAAGTTTTGAGATTTTAGGAGCCCCGAGAGAGTTTAATAGAAAGGGATAGGACTGAACTTCAGAGGTTGCTGCATTTAGAAATGAAGTGGAGGGCCGGGCGCGGTGGCTCAAGCCTGTAATCCCAGCACTTTGGGAGGCCGAGGCAGGTGGATCACGAGGTCAGCAGATCGGGACCATCCTGGTCAACATGGTGAAACCCCGTCTCTACTAAAAATACAAAAAATTAGCTGGGCACGGTGGTGCGTGCCTGTAATCCCAGCTACTCTGGAGGCTGAGGCAGGAGAATTGCCTGAACCCAGGAGGCGGAGGTTGCGGTGAGCCGAGATTGCGCCATTGCACTCCAGCCTGGGTAACAAGAGCGAAACTCCGTCTCAAAAAAAAAAAAAAAGAAATGAAGTGGAGTCAGAGGAGCAGAAAGAGCATTTGGTCACTGCTCAACAGTTGTGCTGGGCAGAGCAGGATAAAGTATTTCATGACCCTTGGACTTTTTTATTGGAATTACTAAAAATCAGATTTCAGTATTAAAAAAATAAGTGATGCAAAATAGATCTTTGGATGAGACCATGTGCCATAGAGTCCAATGGAAGGGGAGAAATAGGATAGTAATAAAGCCACAAAAAGTAGACAAAAGTTACATTTTTGTTTATTAGAGAAAAGATAACTTTAAAGAGAAATGATTAAGAGAAAGGGAAAAAACTGAAACCCATGGTGAACACTTAGAATGAGAGTATTTAGCTCAGCCTGAGACAGATGAGGATCAAAAATACCATGGGAACTAGATAAGAGTTTTCTAAGTAAGTAAATCGTCTCAGTAAGATGTAATTAACAAAACTTGGAATATCTTAAACTATTAATGATAGTGTTTCTAGAGCATCTTTAAAAACTAAAAGGTAAATATGACTACTCTTATTTTTTTTCTTACTAATGCTTAGTATTATATGTGTAAAAACCCTCATTTTTAACCAACATTTTTGCAGTTTAAGTTTCAGAAAATAATGAAAGTATGAATCATTTTTAGGTGTTTTAAGAAAATTGGCTATTTTGAAATCTATCCTTATTGGCATCAAGTTTACAAAATGCACTTTATACATGTGCCTAAATGCATATTACTCATCAACTTACAAGAAATACTATTTTTTATCTCTAGTGTCTCTAGATTTTACAAAAATAATTTTAAACACTTTTTTCTCAAGCCTGAAGAACAAAAGGAAGAATTAAGAAAACTTTTAGAGTTAATACCATCACTGGAGTACAACGTGGATCAAATAAGAAAGAAAAATAATGCATTAGAAGAAGAAAGAACTGGGTAAGGTTTCCCGACTGTAGCACAATTTTAATCATTTATTAATTGATTTAACTCTAATTTCACTTGACTAAACCTAGATACAAAGTCATTTATGTCTGCGTTTTCATAATTAAATGAATTATATTTAAAAACGTATTTCAGAAACTCACAACACGACATTATAGGCATGTGGGTCATGGGAGTGGGAGTCAGCTGAGCTTCTGGGGCAAGGTTGGGATGAAAAAATTTATATTAAAAATATGTGAGAAAAAGAACACAATCTTAAATTATTTTGAATGCCAGAATATTATACTTATTCTTTACTGAGTTTGAAAACAATAATGACAAAGTCTTGGACACACAATGTCAAGTGCGCTCTTCCTCGTCTAGTTTGAATTTTTATTTCTGCTGTCTTTGGTCATTGTTTCTTCCTTTTGTGGTATCCTTCTCTGCTGCATTTAAATTCTTTAAAGAAGACCTATTTGTGTCATTCTTTAACATCACAGTTTATCTTGATATGTAGCTTATATTTCTTTCTGCTTCTTTTCCTTTTAGATATAAAACATATCATGGAAATTTACTCATTTACATGGGTACCTCTTTTGTCTACATGAAGTACAGATGTTATTAAACTTCTGTTTTACAGAAATAAATTATATATTTATATATATAACTTAAAAGAGTAAAATGAGCATTCATATTTTGATCACAGATTTTTATTTAAAAATGGAATGTGTCTTTGAAGCCCTGAACACAGTTACTTTTCTATTTATTTACTGAGCATTTAAGTTGCTTTTCTGATTCTAATCAACATTTGTCCATCATTGCCTGTCTCTACATGGTTTTATATCTCTTTCATTTTGTTGACATGATGTCAGCAAAGATCTCTAGATCTCTTTTTCAAAGTCTTTACATCATCACACATCTCTCTGCACCTTTCCTTTTTTCTAAAACTGCCTGTTTTCTTTTTCTCCTCAACTCAGATATTAAAGATGTTTGCTTACTTCTCTTTTTCTACATTGTATGATCTCATTGATGTTTTTTGTGTGTACTTTTTTTTCTTATAGACTGTGGTCAGTGGGTATTAAAATATATATTTCTGTCTTTTTCAAACATGTATGTGTTTCACTTTTTTATCTTGGTTACTTATCTCTGGGTTATGGCTTATATTTAGTAGTGGGTGATTTTATCTTAGCATGCCAACATGAATCTGAATAGTTTATTTATAAAAACTGTCTGGTTAGGCCAGGCATGGTGGCTCACACCTGTAAATCCCAGTACTTTGGGAGGTCAAAGTGGATGGATCATTTGAGGTCAGGAGTTTGAAACCAGCCTGACTAACGTGGTGAAGCCCTGCCTCTACTAAAAATATACAATTAGCCAGGTGTGGTGGCAAGTGCCTGTAATCCCAGTGATTTGGGAGACTGAGGCAGGAGAATCACTTGAACCTGGGAGTCAGAGGTTGCAGGTAGCAAAGATCATGCCATTGCATGTAAGCCTGGGCAACAGAAGCAAAATTCCATCTCAAAAAAGAAATTGTTCTTCATATTATTTATCTAAAATTATAATTTCATATAGAATGTTTTCAACTATGTTCATTTGAAACTGAGAGGATCATAGTTTATAGATTTGTTTCTTTGATATGTCATAATGTCTGTTTAAACAATTATTAAATATTTACTCTTAAAAATGCTTAACTTACTAATTCTGTGCATTTCTGCAGATATAAGAAACTTCTAGAAATGACAATAAATATGCTAAATATACTTGGAAATGAAGACTTCAGTTCCTATGGAGACTTAACAGATCAACTGAAAATGCATATTCTGATTAAGAAGATAAAACATAAGGTAATTTTTAAACAAATTTTATCTTAAGGTCTGGATTACATGTGTGAGACGTGCAGGTTTGTTACATAGGTAAATGTGTACCATGATGGTTCGTTGTACCTATCAATCCATCACCTAGATATTAAGCCCCACATGCATTAGCTATTGATCTTGGTGCTTTCCCTCCTGACCCCAACAGGCCTTAGTGTTTGTTGTTCCTCTCCCCGAGTCCATGTGTTCTCATCATTCAGCTCCCACTTGTAAGTGAGAACATTCAGTGTTTGGTTTTTGTTTCTGTGTTAGCTTGCTGAGGACAACAGCTTCAAGTTCATTTATGCCCCTGCAGAGAGCATGATCTCATTCATTTTTATGCCTGATTATACAAGGGCATAGAATACGCCATAGTATTCTATGGTGTATATATGCCACATTTTCTTTATGCCATCTATCATTGATTCCTTGTCTTTACTATTGTGAATAGTGCTGCAATGAACATACAAATGCATGTATCTTTATACAGAATGATTTATATTTCAACGTCATTTTAAATCAGTTTTAGTATTAAAAATCATGTAATTTGTTCAAATATTGATAGAAAAACCCAAATTTTGCCAAAATATGTTTAAGGTTTATTCTGAGCCAATATGTTGATTGTGGCCCTGGATTACACAATCTCAGGAGATCCTGAGTGTTTTATGAGACAGTCACATTACAGTTTGGTTTTATCCATTTCCAGTGGACAGAAATTGTAGGGAAAATCATAAATGAATGTGAGCAAGGCATATATTGGTTCAGCCTGAAGGTGGGCCATCCAAAAGGAGGGGCTAACAAGTCATAGGTAGGTTTTAGGGATTCTTTAGGTGACAATTGGTAAAGACGATTCTTTTTTTGGGGGGGGACTCTCCTAAATTTATTGGGCAACAGACTTCGGGTGAGGGGGCTGACAGGAGGAGGGCCAGGGCATAATAACTAAAAACCGTAGGTGACAGCGGCAGCTCCTCAAGAGACCTTTGCAGACGGGAGGGGGTGGGTATTGGGTATTTACAAGGATTTGTACAAAGTGCCCCGTGCCAGCCTGGGGAAGGAAAGGTGGGAGGTTTGAGTGTGAGGGGAGGGGAGGAGAGGGGAAGGAAACTGCCTCTCTGCCCCCCCACTCCCAGTCCCCCAAATTCTCCAATCTTTAGACTCAGCAGCTCTCCCTGCCCCTGCCCAAGGCCTAATTTTGAGCTGTTGGGAGGAATGAAAGGTTTCCTCAGTTGCCCTCCCTGACCCTGCCCTGCCCCCAACGTCTCCTCAGGTGCCCCCATGGCAAGGCGAGGTGGGACAGGACTGGCTGGAGGCTCCAGGAAAGTGCCAGCTCCCCGCATTGAGCCCCCCATCCTCCTTCTGTGCCGAGCGGCCCCAGAGAACAGCAGAGGGGACAATCTTTGCCCTGAATCGAATTCAGGGAAACTGAGGTGATGACAAAGGGAGGATCCCCTCCCTGGCGTCTTCCCCTCTTGTAGAAGCATAGGCAACAAGGGAGAGGAAGAGGAAGGTGCCTGGGGCTGTGGTGGCTCAGAGCTCGTGGTCGTTGGAGATGCGGGTGACAAGGGTGCGGAAGGCCAGGGCGGTACCCGCCACACGGCGGAAGAGAACTCCCCGCAAGCCTGGCCGGGGCAGCTGGCAGACCTCCACTTCGAAGTGGGACAGGGGCTCGGGCCTGCCCACACCCCCCGTGCAGGCAGGCCAGCAGGAACGGCTGTGGCTGGCTGCTGGGGCCTGGCGCAGAGCTGCCATCAGGGCCTCGGGAAGGCGAGAGCTGGTCAGCTTCATACTCCAGTGGAATCGGAGCAGCTGGTTGGGGGGGGTTCCGTTTGATCTTAAGGTAGATGGCAACTTGTGACCTCAGGTCCCCCAATTCTCTCAGGTTCATCTGCGACCCTTCGGGTCAGTTTGGAGGTCAGCTTGGTGAAGAGGTTGGTGGTGGGGCAGGGCCGCTTGGTGGGCCGGGGTGCAGCCCCGTGGGCCAGTGTGGGAGAGGCGGGGGGCCCATTCTGCACACCCTCACCACTCCCACCCCCTGCCCGCCGGTCCTGGCCACCGTGGAAGGTGCTGCGGATGGTGGAGCCGCGTGCCAGGCAGCCCCGCTCCCCTGTTTGGGGTGCCAGGCTGTGACTGGATGGGGAGGCAGGGGGCACCCATGGGGTGCCTGAGCTGTTTTCTTTCCCATTTGGCAACAGTGACAGGTGCTCAGCCCCCGGGCGTTCTGCGGGTCATCATGCTGGGAGGGAGGTTGTTGGGCGTGCTCGTGCTGTCCTTCCGCCGCCCTGGGATCTCTGCCTTGTTGGGGTTGTGGGCGCTGCTGACCATGGGGCTGGAGGGGGGCAGCCCTCGACTTCCGCTCCCCGCGGCACTGCAGCTTGCCTTCCGGCCTGGCAGCTGCTCCTCCTTCAGCTCCGCCTCCCACATGCTCGTTGGGCTGCGTTTGGGCTGCAGGGGTGCAGGGGGTGGGCCACAGAAGTCACTATGCCTGCGCTGGCGATAGTAGGTGGAAGAGGAACTCCGCTGCCCTTTGCTGTGGCTGGTGCCTTTGCTGGAACTTGTTCCATTGGTGGTGTCACTGGGCGCCCACACCTGTGCCAGGGCCAGCCCTGGGGCACCCCGGTCCCCACCCTCCTCAGTCTTCCTGCCCAGCAGCAGGTAGGTGGCGGTCACTTCGTTGTACTTCTGGCTGGTCAAGGCCTCTTTGATTTCTTCCCGTGTGTAGCCCATACCCACCATCACCTCGATTCTCTTGGTGTCCCCGAAGTCCTCCTCAGGCTCCGTGTATGGCTTCAACTCCTCACCCTCATAGCCGATGTTGATCCATTTGTCTTTCATGATTTGCTCGAGAGTACAGCGTTTAGCTGGGTTCAGCACCAGGAATCTCTGCAGAATGCTCTCACAGTCCCTTGACATGTAGAAAGGGACCCCGTACTTCACCTGGAAGACTCCCTCCCGCAGCTCCTTGAGATTGTGCCCATCAAAGGGAAGGAGCCGCTGACCAGGGTATACAGGATGACCCCTAGGCTCCAGATGTCCACCTCCGGTCCATTGTACTTCTTGCCCTGAAACAGCTCCAGGGTGGCGTATGGAGGGCTCCCACAGAACGTGTCCAGCTTCGAGCCTAGCGTGAACTCATTGCTGAAGCCGAAGTCAGCAATCCTGATGTTGGCCTCGGCGTCCAGCAAGAGGTTCTCGGCCTTCAGGTCCCTGTGTACAATGTTTTTCTGGTGACAATAGTGCACAGCCGAAACAATCTGTCGGAACTTGGCTCCAGCTTCCTTCTCCTTCATGCGGCCATGCGACACGAGGTAGTCAAACACTTCTCCGGCACTGGCATACTCCATCACCAGGTACAGCGTCTTCTCAGTCTCAATCACCTCGAAGAGCTTCACGATGTTGGGGTGGTTTAGGCACTTTATGATGCGGACCTCTTGGAACAGCTGGGCGTGTCCTTCTGCAGGCTGCTGGGGTTCAGCTGGGTTTTGTCAATGATCTTGATGGCAACCTGCCGACCAGTGAGGATGTGCCGAGCCAGCTTGACTTTGGCAAAGTTGCCCTTCCTGATGGTCCTCAGCAGGTTATAGTTGCCTACGTGAGGCTGCTCCTCGGAACAGGAGGCGATGGAGTTCCGGCAACGGGCACCCAGTGAGCGGCTGGACCCGGATGGGCCTTTGTTCGAGGAGCGGCCGCTGCCCAACGTGCCATGTGTGTCTGAGTTCCGATCGTTGCCCGGGGCCAGCGCCATCCGTGAAGACATCTTCTCCTGGTCCCGGGTAGGCAGGGGCGGCCGGGTGGGGGGGGCGAGGGTCCCAGAGTCCCCTCTCTTCCCCTCCCCACCCCCGCTGCTGGCCTGGGGACGCGAGCTCAAAAGCTGGGTGCCGAGAATGCCCAAGTCCGCGCCCCGGGAGGAGGGGGGAGGGGAGGACACCGAGGGTCCTAGCAGCCCCGTGCAGCGGGGAACCCGGGCACCATGGGGGCGGCGGGCGGAGGCCGCGGCGGGGGCGCGGAGCCCGTAAAGACAATTCTTAAAGAAAGTTAAGCCGTTGTCTAAAACTTGAAACCAGTAGAAAGGAATGCCTCAATTAAAATAAGGTGGTAATGGAGGCCAAGGTTCTTATTATGTAGATAAAGCCTCATAGTTGGCAGCCCTCAGAAAATAGAGGGTAAAAATATCTTTTCAGATTTTAAATACACCAGGCTCTTAGGTAATCTTCTCTTGATCTGGAAAGACCTAGAAGGGGAGAGATTGGGCTACATTAATGAAGACTTCCTACAGATGCAATTTCTCCCACAGAAGACAGCTTCCCAGGGCCATTTTAATCTCTTGGCCCTGTGGCAGTCGTTTGAAAATATGTCAAAGAAATATATTTGGGGGTAAAATATTTTGATTTCCTTCAGCTTCTGCAATCTGTGAGGCTGTACAAGAATCAGTTTAGAGAGTAAGGCACATTATAAGAGTTGAAAAAACCCATCTGATGAGATTTTATAGTTTGAAGGGTATGATTCCCCAGTCCCTTTGGATAGAAATTGGGGCAAAAGAAAACAAGTTCTTATTCCTCGATATAAATCTTTCAGTGCTTTAAGTAGTGAAAGAAAGATTTTTTTCCTTTACAGACTTGATACTATTCTGTAAAAAGGACATGCTGTTGATTCTCTTATGTCTTGAACCCTGGCCAGTGATCTGAAACCAAGCAGTACATGTCTCCAGATCACTAGTACCAAATAAATTTGGGGGAGTAACAGGTTTATTGAGAAATAATTAACACACCATGTAATTCACTCATTTGAAATCTATAATTCATTGGCTTTTAGTATTTTCAGAGTTAGGCAATCATTATTACAATTAATTTTAGAACATTTTCATCACCCTGGAAAGAAACCCCACATCATTTAGCCATCTTTACTAGTTCCCTTTGCGCTTCAACCCTAGGTAACTACCTACCTTCTTTGTATGGATTTGCCTATAAGCCTCTGAAATAAAAAGCAAGTGGTCT